GCGGGTGTGGGCAAAGGTGGGGGGCACTTTTGACCCCGCTACAAACTTTGGCAGCGGGTTCAGAGGGGAATTACACTTATTGCTGCTCCTGACAACGGGCTGGGGAGGAGGGATGGAGGGATGGAGGGAGGGAGGGAGGGAGGGAGAGATGGAGGGAGGGAGGGAAGGAGCTGCCGTCCAAACCCCGTCCCCTTGCAGGCACAGAGCTCCTGGGACCCTGTCGCAAAACTAAGAAGTCACCAGCGTCCCTCAGACCTGCCCCCGGACCCCGGTTCAGCTCGGCACGCCGGGTACCCCTTTGCCGCGGCAGCCCTCTCTCCCTGACGCCCCCCACTCCCCCCGGTCCCTTGCAGGACCGGGCATCAGCAGCGTGCTGAGGGCTCCCCTGGCAGCACGGCCTCCCGGGTCACCCGCGGGGCACTGTGCCCCCAAATCCTCCTCCTCCACCCTCCCCACCGCCCCGGGGCACCGGACGGGACCCCTCCGCCCTGCTGGGCGTCCTAACTGGGCAAAACAAGGGGGGGGGGGGCGCTCATTCCACACACACCCCCCCTCCCTTCTTTCCCCTCCCCTCCCTTGCCCCGCCGGGGCCCTACGGGACTGAGTCCCCTCCGGAGACCCGAGCCCGCCCGGGGGCCGCCGCCTCCCGGTGCCCGGCCCCGGGTGCTCAAACCCGGCCGGGGGCGAGCGGGGCAGGAGGGCGGGGGGCCGTCTGGGAGCAGGGAGCCTCGCCCTGCCCGGGAGCGGCCCCCGACCGGAGCCGCGGAAGCGCATTTGTTCAGCGTGGTGTCGGTACGCGTGGTCTCTTTCACTCGGCTTCCGAAGGGAGCTCTTGACCACCGGGGTTTTTCTCAGAGTTAAACGAGAGGAATAATTATGAATGAGTTTAAGCGTTGCATCAGCTTTAAGCATTTCCAAGGCAAAGTATTGGATTTCATATTTATAAGAGGAATTTACATTTGTACATTGACTCATGGTATGACGTAGGGCCAAACCGATTTCCTCATTCCCCCCCCCCCCCCCCGCCAGCTTATTTTGGTCGAAATGGGGCAAATAAGCAAACAGAAAAATCATCGTTTTAATCCACGCTTTAATAAGCTCTGACCCGAAGAGCAAGATTTTGTTGAGTAGATAACCGAGTCCTCTCTCTCCATCTCCCTCCCTCCCTCCCTCTCTCTCTCTCGTGATTAATTCAGAGACTGTAATCATGGACATTGTACATCAAACCTTTCTGCTCACGCTACAGACTCCTGCAGATTTTTATTGGTTTACATGAAAGCGAGTAAACATATTTCAGAGGATGCCCTTTCAATCTGGCTCCATTTCCACAGCACATAATTCCAAGGACAATTTGTTTTAATAATAAGAATGGATGCAGTGTTAATGGTTTTCAATTTGTGTTTAAAAAAAACCATTAAATATTTATAAGTATCGATCGAGGGTTTCAGGATTTTACAGACGTCTTAACACATTTCATAGATGGGATTTTTTTTAATTTAGAAACCTGCGTCGTATTCTCTTTTATGCTGTTTATTGATTTAAGCAACATCCGTGTCTCAAATGAGAGACTAATAGATTTTCATTAAAATAGGCTCTCTTAATCCTGATTGTGAATGGATATGATTGATCCATCCAGCACACTACACATCTACAATATTAATAAAGGACATTATCATGGCAGGACTTGCTTTTCCGCCATCGGGGCACTTTTTTTTTCCCCTCCTTCCAACCTTAAAGATTTATTTGGGGGCCGTAAAATGGCCCACAGGAGGGAAACGCATTGGGAAGAATACATTTTTATATTAGATTTTTTTTTTTTTGGTAGCTTCAGTGGAAAGATTTTATTTTTTTAAAATCTACAAGCCGCCGGGGCAACATATGGTGAAAATTAAACTGTTTCCCCGCAAATCTAATCTTAAAACATTTATGTTGAGTTTTATTTTTAGAAAAACATTTTTAAAGGAGAGGAAAACAATCTTGGATGAAAAGTCAAATAAAGAACCTTTGAAAGGCTGTAGTTTAAAGTAACAATAGCCTGCTTCCCCGGCTGAGGCTGCTGGACGGGCTTCGTACCTGAGGAACATGTTGCGGAGCGGTCGGGACAGGAGCGCCGCAGTAATTAATGGAGTGTGACAGAAATGCTAAGGGCTTAATTGTCTTTATTCCGACTTCTAGCGACGTAACCAAAGGGGTACATTAATTCAATACAAAACCACACAAATGCTCTCCTCTCTCCTGCACGGGGGCACATGCAAACCCACACGCTGAGACACAC